GGTTGACTTAAGTTGTTTATTTATTGGATTGGACAAGTAGCAGCAGGTGAACAACACTAAGATGACTCATCTCGTCATCACTATGATCCTTGTTATCTCTGTGTTAAAAAGCCAACGCCAATCCTGACTCCTTTGCACTGTCTGCCTCAAATAAACCAATAATAATCTCGTATATCAATAATATATCAATAAAGTCATCAAGCTCCTGTGAGGAAAACTAAGAGACTCCAGGTCTCATTTGTCCATGTTGTATTAATATATTAAATAGCAATTAGCCCAATTTTTGCCCTTTAACTGCACATTTGCACACCTCTACTTTGCATTTTACTAACTTGGCAGGAACTCCCATTTTGGTATGAGCTCTTGACAGGTTTTATTGCATATTGTTTTATATTGTTTCATATTGTGTTGTCTGATTTTTTAACTATGTTCTAATTTAGATTTTACGGTGATGTTGTCCTTGTGTTTGTTGTCTTCTGTGTGCTCCTGCTGCAAAACACATTTCCCCTTGTGGGACAATAAAGAATCTGAATCTGAACAATATGACGAACACATAACGAGCTAGCAAGCTAATTATGGATACTGATACCAGCTAATTTGTTGTAAAATATAAATAAAATAATGACACTAGAATTTATCTCATTGAAAGAGCTTCAGCACAAACTTCTTGGACAGTGTGTTGGTGCATTAAACTACACGATGGGATGAAATATTATAGACCAAAATTAGCATGAAAATATCTTCAAAAGACGCCGACAACACAAACACAGCTGAGAGGTTAAATCTCAGACTGAATAACCTGAGGTGACACCATAGCAGACGGCTAAATAGCAGAGTGACCACACCTTTCATTTTGCATAACACGACCCACATATACTGTAGGTGTAAAAACAGATAAATGAGCTAGAGATCTATACATGTTTCTTTGGAAATATTGTCCTTGTAACTTTGGTGCCTACTTTTATGTTTGGCTTTATTATAGGGCCTAATGGGGAATTACTCACTATTGGAGTCAGCCTCTGACGGGAACTGCAGTTTTTGGCACTTCTGAATTGGCTTCTTTTCTCAGGCTGGAGAGATACTTCTTGATATTCATGTACTTTAAAAAATCAGCCAGTGATGTCTTACACTTTTAGTCATAAGTTCATATACTGAGCTCAGTGACTTTTTCTCTCACTCTGCTTGTTATATTGCTACCCCACAATGCTCTGTTATCTTTATAAGAAAAAGGCCTCTTCAGCCAATTTGCCACTAAAATGTTGAATATGCTCTTTCGTCAACAACAGGAAACTGACGGCAGCGAAAAGACTCTCTGCACCTCTCCTCTCACACGTATGCCGCTCTGGCCTTTTGCCGTATATTGTTAACGTCAATGATGACATACAGTATTTGGACTCATAAAAACCTAAAGAGCGGAGGGGCTGAGATGGCTTTCCTCCGCTCCGTTTGCCGTGCGGCTGCAGACCCCTGACCCGTCTTGTTATAGGACTCCTGCCAACTTAATGCAACCTTGGCTGAGCCGCCGCCTTTCCCGCCCATTAGTCCAGTCATTTTCCAGGCTTAAACATATAAGTGGCCTATTTTAAGCAACCAGGGGATGGGAGTTGTGGAGTATTTACGCACACAGGTTGCTACATAAATTCTACTTTGAGTAAATACATGTTCATGTGGACACTGCTGATATGCATCTCATAGAGAAAAGAGAAAAAAGAGAATCTGTGCTGTTGCTTTCTCAACACACACACAAAAAAAAGCATCAAAGAAACATAAAGAATTAGATCTAAATTTGATTGAAGTGAAGGCATTTGTTGTTTCCCCATGTGGCTAAACAAACTAAAAAGCATGAATGGGAGACATGGGGGCACTCACACTCCCATCTACTCCCTGAAACACCTCCCTCTCCCCTGCCGCCACGTGCGAGCGCAGAGCCCACAGTGTGGCTTGGACCCACCGCACAGTGACTCAGGCTGCTCTCCATTTGAAAAATTAAACTCGGGGCCGTTTGGCAGAGTTAAATGAGGCCCCCAGGAAGAAAAAAAAAAACCTGCTGAGCTCAGCACAGCTCCTACAATCTCAATCACAAAGGAGGAGGTTGGCGCGCTGATGTAATGGCCGCCGCCGTGCAGCCGCTGCCTTGGCAGAGGAGGAGAGCTCGTCAGCACAGCCTTGCTAATTCATCTCCCTCTCTACCCTCCCCCCCCCCCCCCTCTCCTCCTCCTGGATCAAGGGTACATCAGATATCATTAACAGAGACAAAAAAGGCAAAGTTTAAAACCAGACATGAAGCTGGACGTAGGAGAGGATGAGGCCAACAGAGAGCGTTTCTTTCACTGCAAAGACACACGGCATGATAAGTGACAGAATCCTGCAGTGATTTTAAAAATGCGTCTGTATTCCAGTTTGAAAACCAGCACAGCCCAGAGAGAAAACGAACAGCCTGCATGTATGTTTTATTAAGAATGAAGGACTAAAAGTCACATGGGAGGCATCGTTTATTACAGGCTCAGTGGTAAAACTGCCACTCACCTGTCAGCATGTACCCACCTGTAGAGCTCTTTTACAATAAACCCTGCAATAAATAAATAAATAAACAACAATGGGTCCAATGAAGGAGGCCATTCAAAATATTCCTCAAATATTAATTGAAACATGTTATCACTTTAATCATAAGCATTCAGCAGAGATGGAAGAAATGACATTTTTTTATTTTATTTTCATACTTTATTAATCCCCCAGGGGAAATTCTGGTTCACACTCTGTTATTGAGAGACATGCTTCTCACACACATAGGCCCGCTTGAACCGACAACCCTCCGGTTCCCAAACCAAGTCCCAACAAACTGAGCCCAAAAATAGCTTAGTTTAAATGAATGAGAAAATACAATAACATGAAGACAATTCATTTAAAAAAATGTAAAACAAATATAAATCCTGTGTTTTAAAGAAAAGTTGAATTTAATTTCATCACTAAGTATTTAAAGGATATAAACTGAATAAACATGGTTCTATACCAAATGTTTTATTATTACACATAGGCTTCATTTCAAGCTCATCAGGGAGAAATCAAATGTTGCATTAAATAGTCACATGTATGTAGAAAAACAGAAGTGTTTCACATTAATACAACTCTTAAGGCCAGTCTGCTTTCTCCGCAAAGGCGGCAAAACTTTGGCGCTCTCTGCCCACTAGCATAAAACTAGAGAGCAACAGTAATGCGTTTAACAGAGGACTCAAACAATGGCTAAAATCAAAACAACAGTGCTCACATGAATAGTTTCTGACTGGTTTGTTGTCTGATCATGCTGCCTTTGCTCTACCGTTCATGTGTATTTATTCATTCTCTCCTTATTGTTATTCTATGTTTTATTGCTTTTCTTCCTATCTAAATTGTTTTCCTTTCTAAAGCCTCCTGTGGACCGGTGTTGAGAACTAGCATGTTTGCTAAAACACTTGCACAATGGATCTGGTTCGTCCAATGTATCTGTGACGTCCAAGCCAAATAGAGTCTGTCATAAAAAATAAAGAAACACTTTCATTGGGATTCAGTTAAAATGTGAATCCTCCTTTGACAGTACATCTTAACGAGTGGAAGATTCTGGACAATTATAATGATAACTTGAAAGCAAACCGATATATTCCATGATAAATATTAGCATTAATTTACATAAAAGCTAATGGAAACACTTACTCCAATCTCCACGTCTTTAATATTACTGAATCAAATTTTGGCTTCTGACTCTTCTGTTGCAGAGTTCAGTTTAGGGATTTATTTATATGTTACTTTATCTTTTATATATCTAACTAAATGTTTCATAGGTAACTTTTTCACATGGTGTTCTTTTTAAAGTGATTTTAAAGAGCATGTGCTTTTCTCCCGTGTCTTTGGCTCAAAACATTTTTATTTATATTTTTTGCACCAGAGCTAACCTCAGCGCAGTAACTTGTCATAGAGGAGAGGCAGCTTGTTCCTCCAGTTAAAGGTCATGTGTTGCTTCTCCAGTTCAAGCTTTGACAAAAGCTCAGTGGATGAGAAGTATTGACTGAAGTGTTCTGTGGCTCAGAAATAACATATGTGAATTATTAAAATGGATGGCTTCAACTTCTAAAGCTGCAGACTGCACATGAACCCTTCTGCCTTCACTGTGACTTTGGTTATAGTTCGTTTCTCTATCTTTTATTATTTTACGTTATTTCATCTGCAAAAAGGAGGACATTATTTCACACCCAGCAGTAAAGGCTTCAATTTCAAGAGCAAGAACACATTAAATTACATTTAGGCTATAAGTTGCACATGTTTTTACTAGATCTGCATTCATTATTTTAAAATCTACTTTACAAGATCTTCATTATCTTGAGCTGAATTATACATAATCAATACTTTTATACATGAAAACACATCTACATGCAAGTATTGTTAACTTGTTCATGTTTATTCTAGGAGTTTTTATGCGTGTTTCTTTTTGTCCCCCAAATGATGCATCGAGGGTCTTCTTCTAAGTTATTGCTGCCGCCTAGTGGTGATGAGAAAACACTGCGCCTGTGTGGTAAGTGCAGTATGGAACAAGAGTCAATAAGTAATAGACCATTTGAAAAAAAGATTACTTTTGAATAAGCAATTGTTTGCGAAACCAAACAATTCATAATGCTGCAATAAGTAATCGTGTTTTTTTTTTTTTTTGTTTTTTTTTACAATTTTAGATTCACAAATTGACTTTTAAGGACACGTCAAAGGCAAAATTATACACTTCTTTGTAACTGTTTAGGAAAAGATTATTTTAAACAATTCAAAACTGTAAAATAGTAAAACCCTAGCAGTTAATTAAATGTTAAAAAAAAAAAAACCGCAAAAAAACAGGAACAAAATCAATCATCTCCTCTAATTAAACATTTCACAGTTTTGATTATAGAGATTTTCGTTTTTATAGATTAAAACGTAATATAAGTGATGGCGATTGTAGCTAGGCATGACTTTAAACCAATCAATGATTTAAAATCTGGGCTCTACTGTTTTCCCTGACGACCCGTCCAGGAAAATAAATCAAGTTCCGATCACAGTAGCACAGGCGGAGGAGGCGAGACACTGAAAGCAGAGATGGTAAGTTTGAATTAAATCTGAAATACGGTGATCATTTAAGCTTTATACATACATCTACAGAGTACTGGAGTCGTACAACGTGTTTATGTCGTATGAAGTCGGAATAAATCCATAAAACGAGACTGATTCACTCACACGAAGCTAACATTAGCTAGCTAGCTTAAGTGCACTGTGAGTAAGCAAAACAGCTCCAGGTGCTGCTAATGCTACAGAGCCGGCTTAGGAACCTGCGTCTAAAGAAATGCTTCATGGCACATATTTATCGGAAGCAGAACATTAAAGTTGATATAATTAACCCGTGTTTTTATTTATTTATTGACAGTAAAAGTCAGTGATCATAACTGCGTTGTTAGTAAAGGTTAGCAGGCTAACGCGTAGCAGCTATCTGACGTTAGCATCAAACTGTATTGTCATGTCTTTTTACTTTCGTTTTCCCTCCACCTCGTTATTCACTAATTCTTAAAGATGAACCACTTTCTTTAATACGTACAGCTCCAGTCTCCGGTCTCTGGCTGTGATGATTGATGAGTATTCAGCTAATGTGCGACAGCTTGCTGCAGGACAAAGTTAGACCGGTTCCAAGTGCGACATAACACCGGTGTCATGGTGAATGTGGTGCTCGTACTCTGGTTGCAGAGTTCTCTTTGGTTACTGGCTGGAAACAATGCGGGGCTTATGTATTATTTAGCCGTGGCAGTAATTTAAAACTTGATTCTGGAGTCGTTCAGGTGTCGTGAAATGATCAGTACTTGAAAGCTGCCGATGATGCAAGACAACTATGTAAGCTCGGATGTTGTGTGTTTATACTTTAAAGAGGTTGTTTAACGTAATTTTAAAAGTAATGGCTTGTTTTTGTTTTCTTTTTTTTTTTTTCTTTTTTTAAGTTCCGTAACCAGTACGACAACGACGTGACAGTATGGAGCCCACAGGTGAGTCACTGCTAGACTTATCTGATGTCTTAAAAGTAAACTACACATCCTTCAAAGTCCAGCATCAATGTGTAAAAATGATAAAACTGTTTGTTTCTTCAGGGTCGAATTCATCAGATCGAGTATGCCATGGAGGCAGTGAAGCAAGGGTCTGCAACCGTAGGACTGAAATCCAAAACCCATGCAGTTCTGGTTGCGCTAAAGGTACAGTCATTGTCCGTTTTCAAGCTCTCCTGTGAATTTCAGGAGGACTGCTTCTCAAATCCTTCTGATCTAGTGGTTCATGTGTGCACCTCGCAGCGGGTGTCCTGAGGCAGCACATGACGTAAAAAGAACGAGAAAGTGGACGGATGAAAACAACAGTGTCCGCTGTGTGGCGCTGTAATAAGAGTATTTATATCAATGCCATGCGTCTGACAGAATCACAATATCAGCAAAAGAGCGGAGTAGAACATACTGGCATTCGGAAAACATAAAGCAGCAGTTTAATTGCGTGCACAGAGATCGCAGCGGTCGCTTCCGTACACACTATGGTGTTGCACCGATGGCGGTGTATAAACATCACGACCCCCCTCCACACACTCAAGGTGAATTCTCCTGATCATATCCTGCTTGCGATCTTCTAACATCAGCTCACTCAGACTTTCTGCAGAGAAAATACTAAAGAGGGATGGCAGGAGAAACTCCGGATAAAGTCTGAGTGAAATATTTCGGCTGTTTGTGTTCACATGTGAAGCTCACCTTGAAAAGTTCAGTTTTGTGAAAATGTGAACGCAATTATTCAGTGTCTTCTTTGGTGATACATTGACTTCCCATAATCTTGAAACACTGTAGCGTCTTCAAATATTTTAACCGTCTGCATAAAGTTCAACTTCATGATACTAGTATGTAGATATGCGAGTTGCCTTGACTCCTTTTTTTTTATCTTTAAAAGCCGTGAAGAAATGTGTGATATCTGCAACATTTATAATATTAGTAAATGTAAAGATACAGCGAAGCATGTAGCAGATTATTTGATGACATGGATTAGAACATCTTTAATGATCTTTAAAATGTTGTTGTCTGCAGAGAGCTCAGTCTGAACTGGCTGCTCACCAGAAGAAGATCCTTCATGTGGATAACCATGTCGGCATCTCCATCGCTGGACTGACGGCTGATGCCAGACTGCTCTGGTGAGTCAGAGCTGCTGTGATGTTGTAAACAAAGTGTTTTCTTTGATGTTATTGATATTCATGATTCATTCTTTCCCGCAGTAACTTCATGCGTCAGGAGTGCTTGGACTCAAGATTTGTGTTCGACAGGCCCCTCCCTGCATCACGCCTGGTTTCTCTTATTGGCAGCAGTATCCTCTAAACTACTGTTAATATATGTTCGTGTGCGATCTCAGTATTTACTTTTGCCTGTTTTCTCCATGTGAAAGCATGACTGTTACCCCGTGACGTAAAATAATCTTGAAGGTCGACATTGATCCATAACTGAACCTTCAGAAACCCAAATCCCGACACAGAGGTATGGAAGGAGGCCCTACGGTGTCGGCCTGCTCATTGCTGGCTATGATGTAAGTTTTCTCTCAAATGTCTTATAGTCCTTTTGTCCTCTGTATAAAAATAAAAGTCTGAAATATAAAACTTGCCTGAGCTCGTACTGATGTGCTGCTTGTTCTCCAGGACATGGGACCTCATATCTTCCAGACCTGCCCCTCAGCCAACTACTTTGACTGTAAAGCCATGTCCATCGGAGCGCGCTCTCAGTCTGCTCGCACCTACCTGGAAAGATGCATGGACAAGTTTTCTGACTGTAAGATGACATTTCTTTAGGCTGGTTGTGTTCATGCATATTATGAAGAAACCACGACTCATTAAGAGCCTTGTTAAGTACATTTAGCCGACTGACCATGAATGTTTTGCATCTTTTATTGGACGTGTTATATTCATTTTTTTTCGTGATTGTAATGTAATGTGTGATATCACTTTTTTTTTTTTTTTAAACGTGAGTCACAGCATCATGGCGTCTTGTTTTTACTGATTTCACAAGTGGAGAAGTCTTCATTCAGAGAGCTTTGTTCTGTTCTCAGGTAATCTGAACGATCTTGTCCAGCACGGCCTCCGTGCACTCAGAGAAACCCTCCCCGCCGAGCAGGACCTCACCACCAAGGTAACCCCGCTCTCTGATATGATACTCTGCTCCACACATCCCAGCTCACAAGAGATTGATCATTTAGTCTTTAGTGAGACATGCAGCTGTCCTCACTTTGATAAGACCCGTGTGTCTGCTGAAAATTAACTATGAAAACACTGAAGCATAAATATATATCCAAAAAGTCACCGTCACTTTTGTTCAGTGACATTTAATTTGTTGTGAAATTCATACTTAAAAACACTTCATCATAACTCATTAACAATTAAAACCTCAACAGTCAAAGGAGATAGATGTGAGAAAATGCTTTAAAACCCTTTTTTTATTTTAGAGATGTCTTGTTGTTTTCATACTCTGGCCTCACCTATGTATGATTCTCACCTTCAGAATGTTTCCATCGGCATCGTGGGGAAGGAGATGGAGTTCACCATTTATGACGACGACGATGTGGCCCCGTTCCTGGAGGGACTGGAGGAGAGGCCACAGAGAAAGGTACGACAAAGGGTGCCGGGTTTTCAGCCACACCAGGTTTAAACGGATATATGCCAGCTTCTGTTTGAAACATTTCTATATAATTGTTGGGAGTTAGAGTCTGCTGTACAACCCGACTGATACCACTCAGCCAGACCAGAACTGATCTTTTGATCATGTCTTTGACATTTGGACGGGTAACCCCAGTTGTTGTTGTAGTCGTATACTTGACCATTGTCCAGTGGCATGTTAAATATATTCAGGGGTCAACAGTGAAAATATACAAACAACAGTTTTAAGTCAAGAGAAAGCAACACACAATATAAAGGTTACTGCACAGAGTGACCGTACTGCAGCATGTTTAAAGTTCAGAAGTGTTACATTAAACAGCTTTGTATACTGTGTCTGTACATTTACAAACCTGATCATTGTATCTGCACATTCACAGCTCTCTATAACGTGAGATCACTGCACATTCACAGCTCTCTATAACGTGAGATCACTGCACATTCACAGCTTTACCTCCCTGCAAAGACTGTTTACATTTCACTTACCGACTGATGTTTGAATAGACATTTCTTTTAGCTTCATACTTTAGATTAACTTATTTCAAAAACTGTGTAATAACTGACTATATGGCTCATTTTTAACATCCAAATAAGTAATTTGGGTTGTTTGGAGGATAATAGGTTTTAATTTTTTCTCTTTAGTACAAGGAAATCTCTTCAGGAGGACATCAGCAACAACGATAGGACAACAATGATGTCAGAATAATGTGTTAAAAAAAATGAATCTTCACATTTTACATTTATCTAAAGATGACTTCAAAACGTGAAGTGAAGCAGATCTCAATGTTTCCCGTAGTTCCCCGGGAGTTGACACATTTATTAGCAGATTGTTGGTACTTGTGGGGAATTTGTGGGTTACAAATAACATGCTGTTTGTAACACCAACATTTCCCCGTTTGGGATCAGTAAAGTTCATCAAACCGATCTCTCCAGAGTCCAGAGATCTAGTATCCTCCCCACATGTTCTGTTGTATTCAGCTCTTAATGTTTGTGTCTCTCTGTGTCTCAGGTTGCTCAGCCTGCTGCAGATGAACCAGCAGCCGCAGTCCCAGCAGTACCTGACGAGCCAATGGAGCACTGAGGCGCTTTCCTGTCAGTTTACTTCCTGTTTATCAGAGCAGGGGGGGCGGCCCAGACCAACCTGACACACTTAATGCATCTCACCACAGGAACTGTTAAGAGTTGTTGTGTTGACGTGCCACTTGCTAAACTGTTCATCCGATATATTCTCTGCCAACATCAGCCAACGCGATGTTGCTTTTGTATGAGTAAAGTGTACCATTATACAAGAAATAAACTCTTTTTTTGAATTGTGCTGCTGCTCGTTATTACTCTAGCTGACAACTTTTCAACATCAAGATGAAATCACATCGGCGGGAGTCTAAGGCCTAATCTCGATGTCCACACTCACTGACTTTGATGCTTATTCACTTTAAGTCTCTCAGGGCTTTTCCACTGTTTAATCGTAGAGTGCATGAGTGATCTCTCGCTGACTTTTTGAGCCCTTTATGCACCCTGTTTGTAAGTGGACATATCTGCAGACTCAGTGAGGGAATTACCAAGAGTTCATAATATTGTGACAGGAAATGTGATTCCCAGAGGAAGAAATAATTTAAAGAGAAACAAATGCCATAAAATGAAAAAGGGAGAGAAGGTAAAAAAGCAGGAGGATGAAACCATGCGCTATTTACAGTCTACCAAAGAAGTACATTTGGAAAGTAGCCGATTCTCTGGATTCTCAGCTGAACTCTGCTGCCAGATAACAAAATCAAGATACAGAGATTATATTAGTCCTGTTACAAACTTTAATCACACAACTTGCATGATTATTTTAAGTAAGATCTTGTAACTGCAGTGGCTGAGTGAGGAAACAACCTAAAATAAAAATACCTAATGCCACATGACATCGTGTTGTCATGGTTACAGAGAAATCGCAAAGTGCTCTCCCATTGGTATTAAACCATTTCGAGCCCTTGCAGCCTAGCGCACTCAATCACTTCAGGTGAAGTCGGTAAGGGCTCAGGGTGTAGGGAGGAAATCAAGTTTTTCTATTGTAATCTTTTTTCAAGTAAAACAAAAAAATCAAACCAAGTTGAGAATGAAAAGCATTTTATTCATAATCACAATATTTGAATCACTGATGTGCATCCCCAGAATACTTTTCTGAACGGTAAATAAATAGTTTACTAAAGTGGAAACCTTAAAATCATTTAGAGTACAAGACAGCAGGTGTGTTAGAAGCTTAAGATAAAAGCAACAAAGGCAAATGTCGATGCACACAGAGAGGAAGATGAAGGGGACCAGCTCATGTCCAAAAAGTCTCCTTCCATTTTCACAATTCTTATTTAAACATTTAAAACTTGAACATGACATAAACTCAAGAGCAGCGTTTTTATACGTTTAATAAATATTCTGACAGGTGAGAAGATTCATACTGGGAAGTTAAACTAATGTGGACGTGATCAAACTAAATCAGAATCTCCTAAAAGTGTCTCGATAACTGAACATTTAATTTATTTTGAAGCGACCTAATTCCCACGCGTCATGCATTTCAAAACAACATTTATTTCAACGCTTTAAAAATAATTTACTGGATAACATAATGAACAACCCACCAATAACTCTATAACTTGTTCCATCCTTTGAAGAACATTTTTTTTTAAATCAAACCTTCTCCTAGAGCATCCTGGAAGACTCTAAAATGTAAGTTTAAATTCATAAAACTTAGTTTGCATATACGTTAGGTAGACAGATATTCAGAGGACAGTGAGTTTCTTAAATCGACAGCAAAGCTTTTTCTCCAGAAATAAAACTGCAGTTCCTTGAGTGTCCACTTGAGGCTGTCTGCAAAAGCTGAGCAAAACTTCAACTTTGGGCTTCAAAACGCCTCTTCAGAAACCAACAGGTGACATCGCTGAGACTACGTCCATGTCCATGTTATCTTTTTTAACACACGGATAAAGCTGATGTGAGCACAATCAAACTTCACTGTGATCACGTCTCTTATTCACTTCAAAGAGGTGATCGGGCTCTACTTGCCACTCGACGTCCCTGACGCCCAGCCTCCACCATCAGACTGTGTCGTCCATACAACCACGGCCGTCTTCATTCACACACAGCCTGCTCCGACCTCCATGTCAGCGGCAAGAAAGTGTGGACAACATGAACCAGAGGAATACAAAGGAGAAATCCTTCCTGCATATTATCCCGTCTCCCCCCCATCCCATTTCTTTTGAAACATAACAATGAGTAAGGTCTTTTACCTGCTTTGTGTAAAGCGCCTTGAGATAATTTGTTATAACTTGGCACTGTACAAATAAAGATTAATTTCAATGTTAGAATGAAATAGAAACAAACAAGGCTGAGAAAAATAAATAAAACAAGCTGTCTTCTCAAACGCCGGACTCGAGAGTTTATAAGCAGCCATGTTTAAATCAGAGCGAGGCCTTCTTGGCTCTCCTCCTCCTGTTCCTCCGTCTGACCGTGCTGCCGGACGTTTCCGTGTCCCTCGACTTGCTCAGGTCCTCCATCTTCTCCTGCTCCATCGCAGTCGTCATCTTCAGGGTGATCTCCAGCTCCTGCAGGACTCCAACCAGGTCCTCCTCCTCGACACCCAGATCGATCTGACCCCCCCCTCTCTCAGTGTGTTCGTGCAGATCTAAACTTCCACTTAAACAACTCTCTGGAGCCACATCCTCCTCCATCACGGCGACATCGGATTCTTTCACCGCTTCTTCCTTCACATTCTCTGACTCTTCTGCCTCTCCTCCTCGTGTGACGTCCTCAGAGACGTTATCCCGCTCGGCTCCGTCAGCTCGAGTCCTCTCAGCGTCGCTCTCCGGCTGTGGACTGTGCTGATGCTGACAGCAGCAGTCGGAGTGATCCCAGTACTGCTGAGTCTCCTCGCCATAATCTGTAGAGCCTGCAGAGAAATGTCAGGTGTCAATAACGGACCAGCGTCTCATTCATCAATATGTCAGTGTGCTAAAAAACGATTTAATGATTAGTCAACTATCACAATCATTATTGTGATAGTTAAAAATTAGCTGAAATTATTCAGCTGTTGGATTTTCTTAAATTAAATGTGAACATTTTCACTGTCTATCTTTGGGTTGTGGATAAATTGAGACATTTCAGGATAGTGTGCGGGCTTTGGGGAAGAAAAATCAAAGAATCAAGAACCGCATTCAGGAAGAATATCTAATGAAGTGGACGTGTGTAGGATCAGGTGTGTAAAGAGGGGGGGGGGGGGGGGGGTTGAGAAGGCCCCTTCATGTACCTTCCCAGTCGTCCTGGTTCTTCTTCTGTGGTGCCACGTCATCTACCATCTTTCCCTCCTGCATCACCCGAGTGATCTCTGTCAGCTGCTGCAGGAGGCTCTCCTCCTGATCTGCCATGACACCCTTCACCCTGGCACACACACGCGCACACACAGATTGTTATTTACATGAATTGAAAACTGTTGTGAGTGTGAACTCAGGCTTCTCATGGTTTCCCGTCATTTTACTTTACATTGACATCAGCTGAACGTTCATTTCTCATACTGAGGTGTCTCCAATGTGGCTTATTAAAAAAAAGGTTAAATTTGATACATACGTTTAGTTATGTTCAGGGTTTCGATGATAATAAGTCTGAAGTTTTATGGTAAAACAGCTCAAACATCTGCAAGAATAACATCTAATGAAGAACAGACACATTTTCATATTTCTACAGACGCGTCTCCGTCTTGGCATCGCTCCACAGCGTCTGTCCAATATCTTCTTCATTTATGGAAGATTTATTTCTCATCTAAAAATAGTTTTCAATATATTTCATGTAGAAGAATCCAACATTTGCAAAGCTTCCCTCATATAACACTCTGCGTTACCCTGTGTGCTGCAGCTTCGCCGTCCAAAACGTGTTTTGGCTGTTCAGTCTAGCAACACCTGACACCCCGCTGAAGTTTCCTACTTAAAAAGGGTGGGACCTGAACCGAAAAGGTGAAACCTGCTGGAGCCGTTTCTTAAGAAAGTTAAGAGATGTATAAAAGCTGCTTTGTCATTAAAGAAGAACGTCTCAAAGAAACAGTGATTGAAGGTTTTAGTGTCAGAAGGAAAAATTCACTTTACTGAAGTGTCATGTTTGTCATTATCTTTGCATTGGAAGTGATTATCACGCGTCTGTAACTCAATCAGCACAAAATTAAACTAATACGCTGACTGAAAGCGGTCACTCCCGTCAGGAGCAGAGAGGGAGGAGGCGGATGTGCATGAAATCATCCCTCGGTAGGCACACACACACACACACACACACACACACACACACACACACACACACACACACACACACACACACACACACACACACACACACACACACACACACACACACACACACACACACACACACACACACACACACACACACACACACACACACACACACACACACACACACACACACACACCTGTCAGGGCTATGCTGGACGTTGGAGACGATATTCTCCATCACCAGCTCGGTTTCCTGAAGTCTGTCCTGAAGCTGAGCCAGCTCGAAGTCAGCTGGAGGAACGACGGGAAGAGAGAGGCAAAGAAAAGAGAGCAGAGAGAAACTTTAAAGACCAAACACAGAGCAGAGGGACGAGTAGACGGCTACATCACGATGTTTCCACAGCTCAGGTGGAAGAAGTCCATCTTTCTGTTTGACGCATTTAGGAAACAATATGGCAGGGAAAAAAAAACAACATTTATTTATTTCTCATTACGTTAATGCACTATAAAGATGAACGTTCATGTCAGAAGTAGATTTCTGAGAGTGCAGATGTGACACACACTTTATTAATTTCACAGGAAATGGGTGCAAAGACACGGCTTTGTGCACAGTGGAACAACTTTTCCACTAATGGGATTGACTTTTTTTTTCTCTCACTAAGTAATTGTGTTTTTTTTTACATCACAACTTGTAGGTATATAACAAAGCTCCTCTGGCACCTTGATTATTCATCACTTTCTTTTCCACTTTTTGCACTTCCCACCCATGAACTCTTCTACTTCACAAATGTTAATTTTGATAACTGTAACGATGTAATAACCACTAAAATACATAAACCATTTGTTCAAACTGTGCAGCGCTCCTGTCGAGTATTCTCCTAACTACACTTAACATCACACATATATTTGGCCGATGCTTTTGTGCAAAACAAATCAAGAAAATAAATGTAGAACTTAAAACTCAAGAAACAAGAGTCACTGCTTAAATTCCACCAGATGAGTGTTCGGTCAGTCTCTGCTCCACCAAGGCAGCGGAGTCGATAGGATTTAACTTTATTGAATGTTTCTACTTCCACTGTTTCAACTACTTCGAGCGGAGGATCGAGCGGGACAGAATCTTATGTGCAGCTTGTTGTTGTTTTTGCGGGTTTTGATACGGTTTTATACCAATTACATCTTATTGTCTTGCCCTGCCGTGGGTCATTTTTTTTTCACAGGAATTCCTTTGTCAGGTGACTCCAGCTGTCAGACGGTGCTGCTCCTGAAAACGCAGCCTGTGGGGGTTGACGGACGAGGGAGCACAGAGCCGTAATGGAGCAGAGCGAACGCGTAATGCAGACGTATCTGGTGGAAGTTCTGGGTTACATGTCTTTAAAAATGAAATGGCAATACTCCCTAAGAAAATAAAAACACTAAATAACAACTATGAGCACATTCAGAGGGCTTGTTGTTTTAAAATGTAATGAAACATATGTGAAGTGCCTCAAGTTGTAAAACGCTAAGAGTAGAGTATGATCTATGTTGTGTGATACTCACTGATCTTTCTCTTCGTGTTCTCCGAGCGCACTGAAGGAAATCTGCTCTCACACGGTTTGTTGTTCCCCTTCGATGTGATCTAACAAAGACACAAGAACAGAGTTTTCAAAAATCATGTATATACATATATATATATATACGTATTTCAAATATACTCAAAGCGCTTTCACACCACATGTCACACCTAACATTCACACACTGATGGTAGAGGATGCTATGTAAAGTGACCATCAGGAGTAATTCATCCATTCATCCATTCACACATTGCTGATGAAGCAAAGATTATTTCATGAAAATGTTCACATTTTTTGAAGAAAAGATTTGGAGCAACTCGGGGTTAAGTGTCTTGCACATCGGACATGTGGCTGCGGGAGCTGGGGATTGAACCCCTGACCTTCCGGTTGAGATACTCTACCAACTGAGCCACAGCAGCCCCGCTGAATCAAAGCTGGTTGTTCTAATGAAGCTCAGCCTAACTTCAAACTCATTTATTAATTCATCATCATTCATTCATGTTACTCCCTCTCTCCCTCGATCTTCCTGCTCAGATGATTAGCTGATTAGGGGCTTTTACTCTACACACCAACCAGATTCCACAATGACCTCTATCGACCAATCGTCCTGCTGCTGCTCTCAAATTTTAAAATTCATTCTCCTCTCTTTCTCTTTCAGTTTGTTCGCTGCGACCCTCCTCCATCACAGACTCATGCATTCATCTTTACAGTGTCCAGCTCCTGAGAAGCCCCCTCCTCATCACATCCTGCATACTTCCATCACCACCACCAGGGTCTAGACTCCATCAGGGGGTATCCTATACTGCAGTCGGCCTCATTACCCCTTTAAAGTATAAAGTATACAGACACAATAGAGTCTATTCATCAAAGATATTGCAGATTTATTTTTAAATCTGTAAAATAAGTACATTTTCACTCATAATTAAGTATAACTGCAGGATTTTGCACTTCTGCACATGCTTCATTTTTCAACCCCGGAGGTTGCCGCTTGGTTAATAGTTTATCGATAAGAATCTGCATGTTTGCTTGCGTTTCACCTTGAACAGGATGTAGAGGATGTAGAGTAAGATCCCGAAGCCGTACACAGGGATGATCTGTCCTGCCAGGTTGGATTTGCCCCCGGTTCCGGCCCCCGTTCCTGCTCCCTTGGCCCTGGCGATGGCCTCGGTGTTATGAGCTCTGGAGAAACCGGAGCCTGCCGCCTTTTGTCCTCGACCGTCAGGAGCCAGCTGACGGTGCATCATGGGAGGGAGGTGACCTGAACCTGCAGAGGAGAGGACAGGAGAGGAGTCAGTTTTTAGAAATGCACATGACTGATTTACAACATGAGCAGCAGCAGAGCGAATCTGAAGAACAGGAAATGTCCAGGACTGTGGTTTGTGTGAATTGAATGTGCAATACAAAAGTAAAACAAAAAATGTAAGAAAAGAAAGAGGAATAAGATAAGAAATAAAAGCAGTGAGGACAAAATTCACACCCAGTACTTGCGGTTCAGTTATTGCACATTTGGCAAAATTAATAATTGTCCAGTGAAGTTTTAGTATTGCACAGTTGGATGTTACACAGATAGTTGTTCAGATTAATGCATAAAGCACAAGAAGACCACCAACTTTATTTACTGTTTTCCAGACGTGTATAATGTAGAAGCTCACTTCCCCTTTGAAACAGAAACCTTTGATGCATATAGACATGAAAATGGTTTATACTTGGTCTGCAGCTTCTTGTCATCCTCTCATATTTTTAGGCATTCATCGGGCAGAAACACAAAGATACGGTTTCTTGGGGTGCCAGTGGTCTAGTGGTTAGTTTGTGAGCTCCATGTACAGAGGCCACAGTCCTCAAGTGGACAGTCCGGGTTTAAATTTGACCTGTGGCTCCTGTGCTGCATCTCCACACTCACTCTCTCTCTGTCTCTGTCTCCCTGATTTCTGGTGCTATGTCCTGTGTCTCTAATGAAGGTATAAGAAGCCCTAAAATAAATCTAAAATAAAAAAAATTCTTCTTCTTATACTGAAACAAATGAAATAGTCGCCGAGGTGTATCTGGCGCCCTCTAGAGGGATGAGAAAGTAATGTAGGTATAAAGACACACCGGTGATGTTAAATTCAAACTGTGGCATGAAAACAACAAAATACGCCACACACCCCGACCTTAAAATGAGATTAAAAAGATTCCCAATCATTCATCCGACCAGAGGAGGTGAAAACGTTTCAACAGATTCAAAAAGAAACCATTAAATGTGACGCACCCTCAGCAGCATCCTTCCTTCCCCGGGATAACAGCATTTTGGGAAGCAGCAGAGCGACGCACAGCAAGAGACACGTCGCTAGGGTCACCTTCTGAAATGTTGACATCGCCATAGCAACGGGAGAGCTGTTCGTCTTGCTGTGTTGTAAAATCGGTGGGGGTTTTTTTTTGGAGTAGGGTTTACGGTGAGAGGAGAGGAGACGGACCGGCGCAGGTTGATGTCGGTCCTCATACATCGGTTGAACTTCCTTATTGACTGGAGGACCGGAAGTGCACCGGGGCTGCAACTCGCGACTTCACCACCAGGGAGCGACAAAGGAGCGTTTTGAAGCTGCGCACAGACTTCCCCTAACACAAAGCGCATTGACTTTAGAAATCCCCCTGCAGAGACTTTATAATTAATACAAAGCGTAAGACAAAAGCTGCTGTGCATGTTAGGAGTGATTATCTTACACTTTATATATCTTTCAGATATCTGCTGCTGCCAAAATACACATTGTACAGAACAAGCTTTAAAAAAAACTCCTATTTTTTTAACCAATAAAATGTTCACTACAGTGTACATTGATACTCCCACAAGTTCAGAGGAGTTCAGGGATGTTTTTAATAACTCAAGATTTATTGACATTAATGAATAATGTAATTTTTGTAAAGTTGAACCTGAAGCCATATTTCACTTGTTCTTGGTTCGACTTTTTTGTGTAACTTTCTGGAAAGACAATGAGATCTGTTTTATGTACAAAAAAAAAGTACAGGGTCACAAACCTCCTCTGGTGCTTGATTCATGTTATATTTACAGCTCAGATGTTTCATTTAGACCACGGGGGACTGTTTGAAAAGGTGGAAAAGGGGGATAATATGTCCTCTAAGAAAACTGTATGTTGTCATTAACCTCTGTCTTACTAGCAAAACGTCATAAACATAAGGCCAAAGCTCTTACTGTAGCCCAACTCCTTTAAAGCTTTTTTATTGGATAAAGATGTTATTTTGAGTTTCTTGTATTAGTAACCAACATACATCCATGTCAATAATTTTAGTTTATTCAAAACTTGGGATTGAAAAGTTGCGATTTTTTAAAAAATAAATTGGTGATGCTCAGCAAGAGCAGTGTGGCGGATTTTTTCTTTTCGATGAGAAGAGTTTTTGGCAATAAACAGGACATGATCCCATACAAGAGCGTTAAACTGTCTCACCAAAACCTGCACAATCTGACAAAGAGCTTCAAATGAGAGATTTGTGAACCTTTGTAAGTGTAAGTTGTCTCTTAGTAAAATGTTCATGATATGAAGTTCAATTCGATGTTTGACAGAGATGTTGGCTTTCCCCAAAATCAAAAATGATTTATTATTGTTCTTCATTGAGATGTAAATACATGTACCTCTGTGTTTATGAAGTTAGTACCTTTGTTAATGTGAATTGTTTTTGTACATGATATATGCATGTCATGAGGTCTGAAAGAAAAGGAGAACGAAGCTTAAAAATAAAATCCAGAACACGTTCACTCACTGATCTTTAGTACGTCTATTTGCCTCTGTGCTTGTGAAGTTTTTACCTTTATGAATATATATTTTACACTCATTTTAAAGTCATGAAGTGTGAATATGAGCATCATACACAGGAGAGATGTTTCTCTAAATATGAAGTATTTTAACGCCTGATTTATATCCACTTATCTTTGTAGCATGTCGTCTGCACCTTTGCTGCATGAAATGTTACAATTCACTTAGCAGACACTTTTATCCAAAGAAATGTACATCAGAGAGTAAGTACAACACTAATCCATTCATACACCGCCACCGAAGCAGCGGGAGCAATGTAAGGGTGTTGGACAATAGACATGTTGCTCAGTTAGGGATCGAACCCTCGACCTTCCGGTTATTGAGCCACAGCTGCCATGTTGTGGATTTTATATCGAGTCAATATTAAAGTCCTCCTCTATGCAGTTACTAGATTTACTGATCTGTTGATTTTCAAGGGAAAATGTTTACTCTGACTGTTTAAATCATGATATTTGTTGTTAGTATTAAAGAGGATCTTTTAATGATTGTCTCTCTCTACAGTCTCATCTGCTCATCAGAAAAATGTGCACTCAATCAGTAAAACATTTTCAGGAGCAGGTCCACAAAAAAGAGAAAAGCAACTATCTGCAACGCTGATGATGAAGGCTTTGAGCTGAAACACGTCCGTCTGCTGATCTACCCAGATAATAGGAACTTTGAAGGACCCTGAGTGTGCTGACTCTTCTGTTTTCTTTTGGTCATGGCAGAACATAAATAATAAGCAAAGAAACTGAACTTGTACTTCAGTTTAATAAGTCAAGAAAAAAAAACAGCTCGAGATCAGATTGAAAACAAAGTCTGTGTGGTTTGATGTTCCCCTCGGTTCAGTCGAGTCTTGCAGGAGGAGGTGAAAGAGAAGCCGATGATCCTCCTGTGTTGGAGGCGTTCTGGATCTGTGACTATGTTTCTGTTTGTTTTGGGGCTTCTTCCTGCATGCCGCGTGGGTGGAGCTCACCACAGAGGACGGCTCAGAGACTGCCAGAACAATTTGATAATCAGAGAGAGTTTTGAAAAAGACAACTCTGTGTTTTCTCTGTGATGGATGACTTGGTTGATGCTATGCGCGGCCTGATTGGCTCCTCTCCATCCGGCTCGTGTTTCAAGTGTGGCGCACAGACTCCCCAAATTGTCTGCAAACGTTGAATGAAGGAAACGTGGGGAAAGAACCACGTTGAGTCCTCTGGAAAATATCCTCCTTGATAGTTTCATGATTTTTGTCTTTCTCTGGTCCATGTGATCAGAAACAAAAAGTTTTCAAGATAGTTATCACTCTTATCCTGAGCTGCTGGAAACGTCTCCAGGTTCAGCCTGAAACATGAAGCCGATGAGGGCCGCGCCGCTGTGCTCTTCATCGTCCTTTCTGGCTCACAGTCATCCTAAAAAAAAAATTAAAAAAACATAAAGCAGCTCCAGGTCAGTCTGTGAGGCTTCAGAGGTTTAATACAAATATGTGTGCATGCTAATGGCAGTTTCCAAACATAAACGTTATTTTTCCTATATTAAATCACGGTGTACATTACATATTAATGGTAGTTTCAATTTCCAGCGATGGCACCATCAGTGGGAAAATTACATTTTTCTCTCTCTCTGGTTTTTATTCCATTTGATGAATGTGACAATAAAAATGAGACAGTTTTACATGAACCGCTCCTGGTATCCTTGGTATTGGTTTAAGTCTCAAACTGATTTTAGAAGATGAAAACATTCGGTGTCTTATTTTATGAAGAGTTTTGCAGACTGGTGCTGAAATACAGTTCCCAGTTTTTAACTGCAGTAATTTGAATTTGGAGTCAATAACGAGGGGTTATTTGAGTTACTGTTGTCTTTCTATCAGCTCGAACCAGTCTGGCCATTCTCCCCTGACCTCTGACCTCTGACCTCTGACCTCTGGCATCAACGAGGCATTTTCACCCAGAGAACTGACGCTCACTGGATATTTTCTCTTTTTTGGACCGTTCTCTGTAAACCCTTGAGATGGTTGAGCATGAAAGTCCTAATAGATTAGCAGTTACTGAAATACTCAAGACTATTCCATCTGGCACCAACAACCATGCCTCGTTCAAAGTCACTTAAATCACATTTTTTCCCCATTCTGATGCTCGGTTTGAACTCCAGAAGATCTTCTTGACCATGTCTTCATGCCTAAATGCATTGAGTTGCTAACATGTGATAGGCTCATTAGATATTTGCATCTACAAAAAGTTGAACAGCTGTACCTAATAGATTGGCCGATGAGTGTGTATATACTGTATATAATTTAAATGTGTAAAATGTATTGTTACAATATAAACTGCGGACCCCAGGGTGCTATGCTGAAGCTCATGAGGATCCAAAGAATCATACTTGTGTGATTGTATTCAACTCAAGTCCTCAAACGTATCAAAGTTTACTCATAAAAAGAAAACGAATGCGATCTCCTTCAGTCTAAATTGGTTTCACTATGAACTCTAAAAGACCTTAAAACCAACCAAAAGTCAAAACTCTTCCCTTCTTTCAGAGCTGTTGTGTGTTTTTTATGAACTGTAGTTGTAGAGTCAGAATCATAATGATAGCTTTGGCTGCTGGTGGCTTTAGAGTATGTGTGTGGACCCAGGCAGACCCTGAAACCCTCATCATTGTGGATTTTGTGGGTTTTTTGCTGCACTTGTTTTCAACCTTCACTCATCTGCCCTCACAGCCAACCGCAGCTCACGCCCACCAAGAGGCTCCCAAACAGTGTAATCCTCTGGTGTTTAAAGCTTTGCAGTCTTTGGATGTGTTTAAACTTGCAGGCTACAGGGTGATAGGATTTAAAGATGACAATGTATGCAGAATGATGCTTTGAGGGACTAAAATGTGATAATAGAGGACAAACCTACTTTTGTTCTCTGATCAACAATTTTCAAATCACAGCAGCAACTTTGTTGTTTCTAGTGATTTACCAAACTGCCCCACATAAATATGAATTCATGAAACTTGAGAATATACAGAAGTTATGATTCTATAATTTCTGTTATGATGCACTGTTTTATTTAGAGCTCTTATTTAGTTTTAACTTTGGGTTTTGAATTTTATTATTTAAAAATGAACGCATGTGTTATTTCACTAAGGCCTCGTGTCCACCTAGCGTTTTTTCCGGGCAGAAAAAGCGCTGGCTGTGCGCTCAGGAGCATTTGCATGAAGCGTTTGTGCTCTGAGAAGAAAAGCGCTGTTGACAACCGCCGCTGTATGACCAACACTGCTCCATTACTTTTTACTGCACGTTTTAAATTTGAGATCATTTTTTACCCCAGCAGACACGGACAAAGAGCAGGATGTGAGTACATGATATGATCTGTAGGAGTCTAAAATACGGGGAATATCATACATTTTGAAAAGAGCGCTAGTGACATTAGCAGCGCTTTTCTGAAAAGTTGAAGATTTTCAACTTGAGCACTCAGAGCGGCCGTACAAAAAAAGCAGAACGATTGTAAAAAAGACGCTGGGCGCTGAGCTTTTCATCCAGGCGGCTGCTTTCTGCTGCGAATGCTCTCTACCTATTGAAAACTGAAAGCTGACGCTCAGAAAAAAAACGAAAAAATAGCACAGGACTTTAGATATGGTTTTATCTAAAATAATGTAGGCCTAACTCTGATACTGATACTCCTGTATTTGACGTGACAGACATATAAACCGCCCTCAGAACGCTACATATTTGTGTGACAAGATGCAGACTTCTTCAAAGAAAATATGGTACAAAATATCGCTGCATGGATTGTCTCAGTGATGCCAGCAGCCTGTGGTTTGAAGTCTCATGACTACATATGGTCATATGTGGGATGAGCCTGTGAGCTCACTTGTATACCTTCCAGATATCTGTGTGCATGGTTTACTTCAAACTGTCAGAGCAGCTGTCCGGGCCTGTAATTTATCGTCATCACAATATTACCTCTTATTGAGCCTGCCTCTCTGCACTGCCATTAAGATGGCCTCCTTCATAGTCCAGCTGGCACAGGATCATGTTGTTCTTCAGGAAAAACTTGTCTCCCACGCAAAATCTGCGGAGAGAAACAAAAATATGGATCTAGGTCTTGGTTCTTGCTGGAGCTGAAGTGAATCATGAGTTCCCCAGTGGAGCATTTGAGGCATATTTTCAGCATACATCCCCTGCTATAATCAGAAAATTAATCTTGCATGATTGCTGCGTGATTAACTCCCCAAGTGATATACAAAGTCTTTAACCCCCTCGAGGTTTCTAACTGTGCAGTACATTTCATCGCTTTCTGATTACAATGCATGCTTATAATGACCAGTGGGCTCACTAGCACACCTCCCAGATAAGTCAACTGAATTTGATCTCCCTGGCTAATTGCTCCCCTAATCTTACCTCTGGCGGCAGAGCTGACAGGCAAAGCAGTCTAAATGGTAGACGTTGTCTCTGGCTCTCATCACCATCTCAAAGGCAGGGATCAGCTTACTGCAGGCTGCACAGTTCCCTGTCACCCCAAAGAGCCTGCAGAGAGACAGAGGGCGACAAGCAGACCTGTAGTCTGGACGCACTTAAGATACATTTCAGCCAAAAGCTGAAGAGGCAGAAAGAAAACACTGAAAGAAAGAGTGGATAAACTTAAAAACCCCTCTGTCTGGGTCACTGTCACAGACGTAGAAAGTGGAAAACTGCACTGCTTTTTCCTTTGGATGATGACTGGCTTTTTTACTGCAGTGGATAATGTAGCACTTAGATCATATCTTAACAACAGTTAAGTGGGAGGAAACATTTACATCAGCCTCCTGGTTGATTTCTATAAACTTTGAATACTCCCACGTAGCCAAAAACGTGTCAATGGTGCCAAAAAACTCCCATCTTCACAGTAAAATGTCAGTTAAATCAGCACTAATAGAATACGCCTAAGTCAGCCAAATATACTCTTCAGTTATGATTATAAACACAGAGCAAAGGTGTTATATTGAAGGTTCACCACTTTAGTTTAGTCATTTTAAAAGCTAAAATTAGCTAATTAGCATCAAAGTCAAAGGGAGCCATCCTACCATATCCATATACCATATCCATAGGACCCAATGTTTACAAGAAAAAAACAATATTGGCACAGATACAATCAAGTTTATGGTGTAAATATAAAGAGCTAATATAATAGGATTACAAACAAAAACTCTGCATCTGAGTTAGTGTATCAAAAATTGAAAGCATTAGCACTAACAAAATAAAGCTAATGTTAGCTAAAGCACGTTCTACAGCCATGCTAAGGAGGACAAGCTGACATTATAACATTGAGCAGTAATGTTAATTTAAAGTGTGGACAGGTGTGAACAGTAGTTTAACAGGACTATTCATCTGAGTCCGTGTCACAGATGTTGAAAATATCAGCTCTGAAATTAGAGTCAGCGTCAATGATGTGAAAAGCAGCACTTTGAATCAAGCTACTGTTAGCTTTTTATGCTCACAATGACAAAGCTAGCAAGTTGAGTAATAATGGTTACACATTTCATCATTGTCGTTGATATGAAGAGTGCAAAAGTTCAACGAAACCTCAAGTCTGAGTCACATTTGGAGAAAATGTGAAACTGCACTCATTTCTGAGTAGATTCTTATATATTCACAAACAGAAAATATTGCTATGCAAACTATTGTCTATAACTTGCTAGTCACAGCACAGCACTACCATGTTGACCATAATAGTTTGGGAAGTTAGCATGCTAACATTTGCTAATTAGCACTCAAAACAAAGGGGTTGTCCATGTTCCTAGGTCTTTTGTTCTCTTGATTTTCACTAACAATGTAAGAGGTTAATGAGGGACTGAATCAGTGGGTTGAGTTGACTCGGTTGAGTAAATAAAATCGTTAAGAACATTTTAGCGGCTCTGTGAGCGTTTTGAGCTTCATGCTAACAGCAGCTGACGTCCAGTATTGTTTGTATTCAGGGACCTAGGTGTAACATAGGGTATGGTAAAGGTCATATTTGAAGTTCTAATTTGACAAAAAAAAGGAGATAGATGTTTCAGAAGCAACTGAAAGATTAAAGTCATGGAAATCTGTCTCAACAAAAGTGGTGGACAAACTGACTGACTGACTGCCACGCTGCTAACACAAAAAAAGAAGACGCTAGCTCGAGTACAAAACATTAATCAAAAATAAGCTGATTTTTTAAATGGAATAATTGACTTGATACTGTTGATAATATGAGTTACTTTAGTCTCATTTTTTGAGGTACTACATTATAAGTTTTTATTGATTCTGCTCAAAGACAGTTCTGTCCACCATCTGATCAACTGTTTCTAAATGTGATTCTGAAACTGAGCAACACAATACAAAAGAAAAATACTCATGTGGTTTTTAATGTGGTCGTAATATTTTTAAAACAGTGAGTTTCTCCAAAAGTCTTCATTTGCTGGGAAAGTCTCTGAGGTTGAAATGTAGCTTAGCATTAGCTACTTAATATTTTTGGAACGAGCGTCATCGCCATTACAAGAGAAACAAAAAGGCAAGATATTAACAAAAAGGAAAGGAAGCAAAAAGGAAACAAAAAGGCAAGATATTAAATAACTTCTTTTATAGGTCGTTTTCTATGTGAATAACTCGTTTGGTTTTTGATGTCCCCACACCCAAATGGAAAACAAACCCCTCCATATTGCAAAAAAACATGTAATTTCTGTTTCACGAAGAAAAACTTCTTTTTTTTTTTAAAGGACACGTCAGCTGAAAAAGGGAATGTTCTCAGTTCCCATTGCAGGTCTGAATAAAGGTTATCATTATAAACAACCCTCTGTTGTTGTTGCAGTAAACAGATGCTTCACTTGTTTAGAACCAAGAGGTTTTATACAGAAAACGGGCTGGCTCCATCCTACCTCTCTGACCTTTCACAGCCGTATGTCCCATCACAGTCATTGAGGTCTGCTGATCAGGCACTTCTAGTTGAACCTAACACTATAGGCTGAAGCATAGGGGAGACCGGGCTTTCTCAGTCATAGCCCCTAAACTGTGGAACCAGTTGCCCCCCCCCCAGGTTAGGCTGGTTACCCACATTGCCTGTGTTTAAATCTTGTCTAAAACGTATCTGTATGCTTTAGCGTTCGTAGGCCCAGTAAAAGAGTTTGTTTGTTTTGTTTTGCTTTATCTATTGTTGTTTTTTCTTTTCATGCTTTTTATCAATTTGGTCAACTCTGTTGTTTTCAAATGTGCTCTATAAATAAAGTTGGATTGGACTGGAGAAAGGTCAGCTGTTAAAAGCTTTATAATAACTTGATATCTTGTATTTTTAAGGCTGCTGATAGAGAGCAGTGCAGTGGATATGCAGATGTTTAACTTTATTTGAAACTGTCACTTACTTTAAGAACCTCATGGCTGATCATGCCCCAGAGCACATTTAGCAGGTAAGAACTTGAGAGTTAATGTATTACAATTTCCTTAAACTATCATCTGATAACATTCGAACTATGTCCTCAAACTACCCGACAACAAAAGCCTGTTATGTTTGAAAAGGCTCTGTGACTCACTCTTGACCAGCTGCAGATTGCCTCACCTCTCATTCACCTCTAAAAGCATGAACAAACGGCTCCCTAAGAGCCTGACACACATGAAGATAAGTGGCTGCTGCTGATTTCCATATTCCATTAGAGGGAAAATAGAAAAGGAGGTTTGGGAGTAACCGTTATGAAAAACGAGATCCACGGAGGGAGGGAGGGAAGTGCCAGAGCCTTGCAACGACAAATGAAAAACGTCATCCAACGAGTGACCAACATGGGAACAAAAGAGAGTCCTAATTAAAGCGAATGTTCTGATCTAACGAGCCTGAGTCCTGAGCAGGCACCTGGTGGGTTTTTTCCTTGTCCTTAACGAGGCTACGAAGCTCAATGCTAATTCTCTACTAATGGTCCAATTAAAAGAAATCACATGGTTTTAATCCTGCTCTTCAAAGGCTTTTGGTCTGCACCCTCGCAATGATGAGGAAAACAGGAGGCAATCTAGCCAATTTAACTGTCAAAAGGGGTTTTGGTCTCTTAAGTGCAGCGCGGCTAATGAGAGACTTAGCTCCAACCAAATCCAGCTGGATTGTACATGAGACTAACACATGAGTTCAGCAATGTGGCTGAGATATCAGGAGTTCCCCTGCTGACCTGACACCAGACGTCGTTATTTAAGGCAAGAAAATGAAGGTTGTGTAACTCTCAGAGGAGCCGTTCGAGCCAGATTCAGGTTTGTGTATAAGTGGTGTCATCAGGATTCATGGGGGGAAGATTATAAAGGTTAAGCCTTGTGCTAAAAGTTGGTAATTTAGAGCATACGTGTTTATAAATTAATTGTGCAGTGATTCACAGAAAGAAGAGGTGGGCTGATAAATGACCTCACTCAAAGGGTTTAGAAAGGAGCTGTTCAGACAATCTCCAAACATTTATCTTCGTCTGAAGGGTTTATAAAGAGGGCCTGAAGTGCTTCAAAGTGCACTAAGTGTTAGAAACTTAGGGACCTATTACATAGAAGATACTGCCTGTAACATCAGAGTGTCGGATGTACTGAAAGCAGTCTGGAAAATAGGCTTTTTCGCTTACTCACCAAAAGTGGAATACGTAGGTGGAAATGGGACATAAGCTTAGCTAAGCATGACATCACAATCTGGAGACAGCTAGCCACCTTGTAGTACCTCTTAGATTCACCCAATATTTATTATTGTTTATTCTGTTAAAAACTGTGAAAGTGTTACAACAACAATCTGACAGGCTATACCAGCAGAGATCCCAAGAAGAGTTATTGGTCCCAGGAGGACAAGACATTATCCAGCACATACGCTCCTTTCAATATGAAGACTTGACTAACCCTGCTGTGTGTTCTCAGTTTTTATGCTAAGTTTAACTAATCAGCTTCCTGCTCCAGCTTTGTTTTTCTCATACAGACATAATAAGAGTTAACAAATCTTTTTTTTATCAAATTCTCACCAAGAAGGTTGAAAGGAAAACACGTCATGTTGTATATTGAGTAGCTCTTTGCTATTTTTACCTCACACTGTCTTTTCTTTTTTCATTGTTTACGGTCTTAAAGAAGGTTGAATTAGCAAGATAATGGTTACATGACCAGGGAGAGGCATAAACCAAAGCTTCATTATTCTACCTTCACTTTGCTGTCTTTCACAAAGACTCAAACTAACACAATGCTCACTCTTTTACTATCACTTGAAGCTCACTGTTGAAGCTCACTGTTGAATGATGCTTTTTTGTCATCCATCTTAGCCCTTATCTCCAAACTTCTTCATATATTGAAAAATGTGGTTTGGTACTTTTGGTTTCTTTTCAAATGAATCCCCTTTTTTAAATACAGCAGCCATCTGAAGAATTCAATGAACAATGCTGAGTCATGATATGATGAGAGAAAACAGCAGCATGTACAAATGTGGGTCAAACACAGAGTCAAATTTTGTTCAGTCATTTAGATTATTTTATGTATTTCTACGAAAAACAACCCAACTTTCAGTACGATTTTCAAAGGTTTGGGATACAAACGGATGTTGACAGTTCATGTGAGTTTCAAGAATTTGTCTGGCTGCACATTTTTGACTGAAAACGAAACAGAAACGGTCAATCTGACATCGACTGAAAGCAGTTTTTGGGGTTCTAATGGTCAATGCATATTTGTCTTCAAACCTTTAAGTAAGTTTTTGATGGCTGGCAAAGGCTGCTCACTTTAGTCTATGTTTGTCCTCAAACAAGTTAAAGAACTGCAGTGTTTCCTGATTCAGTTTCTGCATGGTTTTCAGTGGGAGGCCATCAGATTCAAGCTGAAAAAACCTAAATGATTATCAATCAACCTATTGTTTTTTCACCTGGCTTAGCTCTTTCAGTGTTATAGGGTTGCTAATAATTTACCATTATTTATATTCTGCAAACCCATTGGGTTAGTTTGCATCTTCCTGTGTATGGTTATGAACAACATTGCTACATTGTTGGTGGAAACCCGGATAGAAACACATAGACACCACGATACTGTAAAACAGTTTATGCACGTTTTTGACCTTTCTTTGAACCCACAGCTTGAAATCACACAAATAGAAACCTGGGTGTTGTTCCTATAATGTATACAAGGAGATTTATCACCATCTTCCTCATAAACATTATAAAGAATCTTATCAAAAACAGGGTACTAATGGCAACATTAGTGGGGTCTGAGGTTACTTGTTTTAAAAAGTTGCACAATACTCTCAGTCTCATTTTCCCTCTTTCAGCCCAGATACACCTGTAGAGGGTTTCGGGTTACCTCAGGTAGTCCCTGCGGCAGAGGATGAGGTTGGCCCGGGTGTAGAGGGTGGAGCCCAGGCGGCCCAGGCGGCAGTCACAGCAGGCACACTTCAGACAGTCCTCATGCCAGAACCTGTCCAATGCCTGCAGCATGAAGCGGTCCCGGATCTTCCCGTTGCAGCCGGCGCAGGCTCTCGGCTTCTCTCTGGACTGGAGGGGGACGAGAGACACACCTGGAGAGGACACAACAGGTAGACGGAGGAAGACAGACGCACACAGAGACAGGCTGGGTTAAGTCTGAAAACTCAAAAACATGTGCACAGCTTACTTATGAGAATCTTACAAAAAGGAAAGGTATCACAGAATCAATCAAAAGCATTTATTGACACACTAGGGAAGAAACATCTTTTTTATTTTACTTAACTAATCACTACATGGTGATGGTAACAGTTATTTATAGTAATGAAAATGAAAAATAACCATAGAGCACCTTAAATACAAGGTTAACAACACGTGCATATGATGGGAAAATGTCTATAACGATTATAAAATTAGATTAAAGTCCATAATGCCAATATGTCCTTTTTATTCATCTCATTAATCTAAATAAAAGTATTTCACAAGATTTTAGTTTGACATTAAAGTTATAGGGAAATCTGTAATTTGCAAACACTTGTGTTATTATTTTCTGCAGCACAATCCTTCCAAAGTCCTAAAACCAGTTCCTGCAGTCTATGTTCGTTGATAGCGAACACGTTCATGTCGTAAAATGTACTCACTCTCCTCCTTGTCCAGCACCATCCTTCAGGAGAACGACAACAATCCAACAACAGGAGAAAAGACTCCGCTTCTTCAGTAAAAAAAAAAAACAACAAACACTCCGAGGGCTTTCACACTCCGGTAAATTGCAGAATCAACATTCACCCTCAAACTTCAGCTCCGCTTCTCATAACCACGAGGGAAGCCAAGAGAAACAGCCATAGAGCCGCTTTTTGTGTGTCTCTCTACGCGTAAAGAAAATATCCTCACAGCGGGTGGATGAAGACAGCGAATCCGTGTATCACCTTGCCGGCAGGAGAGATGTCCTTAAATCAAGAGTGTCCGTGTCTTATCTGAGCTGATGTCAGTGCAGAAGGATGTCTGTGTGTGCTCACAGGCTGCGGCTGCTCCTCTGCACACACTGAACCTCCTAACACTGCTCCCTCCTTTCTCCCTCTCTGCAAAAAAAAAAAAAAAAAAAAACTCCCACAGTCAAACGTTTTTTTTTTTTCTTCTTCAACGCTGCGTGCTAATTATATAAAGTCATTACGCTCAGATCTGATAGTAACCGCCCCCTCCCTCTCTGAATCAATTATTCAATAGACAGTCACACACCAGGACAGCCCGGGCCTGAGGTGTTTTAGAATGAGCTTATTCAACTCCAAGGACACCAATTATCTCCAGGGCGCCCTGTAGTCAAAGCAGAGGCTTTACAGCGCGCCAGATGCAGCTCCTTTTAATATGGGTGTGCACGTGCAAATATGCGTTTGTGTCTGAGCACGTGCATATGACATACATATTCAGTAAACTCACACGTTATACATTTCTTTCAAAAGCAGAAGGTTAGTTGTACTTGATGAGGGCAAGAAATACTCAATATTTAAGTATTACAGGATGCCACAAAGGTTAATACTCTCTGTCAAAACTCCTTGAGGAATATTGCAAATGATAACTGGAATACACTGGAATAGACTATAAGATAAAAAACACTTAAAAGTTATTATGGATTTATGTTTTAATACTTGTATATTGTACAGATCCATGTGGTTTTAATACATTACGGTCAAGTTGTAATAAAACCATACTCTGACTATTACATAAAAGGAGTGATACTAAATTGCTAAGATTTAGTTAGCCTTTGTCTTCTGTGAATCAACTTAAAGTACTAGACATTAATGATATGTCCTTAATTACTAAATCAATCCATTTTTATTTGTAAAGTGTCATTCATAACAAATGGTATCTCAAGAAACTTTACAAAAAGAGCCTATAGACTTTAGGCTACTCCCACATTAATCAACCATGAGCAAACACTTGGCCACATATGGCAGAAGTGACAAGGAAAAAAAATGGATTAACAATATTAAACCAGGTACATGTCCAGTGAGGGGACCTGCAATGGGACCATCCCTGACATCTCATTGGCTGTCCAATATTCATTTAACCAGTTGGCTATCTAACCAATCACAATAGGTTCTTATTTTGATCGAACTGAAGAGTAGCTTGTAAATTTCCCCTCAGGGTTCAATAAAGTTTCCTCTTTATCTGTTATCGCTTTGATTTTATACTGTGTAAATTATCTAACATAATGAATGTGCTCTGAATAATCAATTGGAGTAAAACAAATCACATTCAGTACTGAATTGTTGTGAAGTTTAAAGGGATACTTCACCCATTTGCATTTAGCTTTGTATCATTAGAAACCTGGTAGTATTTTTGAATGGTCGTGCATCCCGCCGTCATTTTCCCCTGAGACGGGAAATCTTTGTATTTCTAAGTCTGAAAAGGAGCTTCCAGTGACGAAAAATTAAGATTTTTGTGTCACTGGAAGCTGTTGCAGTTAGCGGGGTGAAACTACAACGCTAGTTCCTCATATTTTCGACCACTGAAGCTACAGACCTATCACAGATCAGTGGGTGGGAACTCACTCCCAGAATCTAAACTTAACGTCCGCCATATTGTTTGGAAGCTGTGCTAACAGGCTCTAAGGAGAAAGCTGATAATGGCGAAAAAATATAAATATAGCTGCGAGACGGCTGCTGCCGAAAGGCCAGTCTTGTGTTTTGGATGCTTCGGCCGTTGGCCGCTGGGGCCACCACTGTCCGCAGCAGCCGAGAAACAAAACCGGCCTGTCGGCAGCAACCGTCTCGGGGCTATATTGCTGGCAGCCTGCCTGTCGGCGGCGGTGAGGACGAGGAGCCGGCTCGAGCTGGGGCGGACTGGTAGTGTCGGTGCTCTCACTGTTTGCCTATGAACACAGACATAAAGTCTGTTTTCTGACAGGAATTTACAATTCCTTCTGAAAGAAATCTCAGAATCAGTTGAAGGTATGGCCTTGTGTTGAAGTAAACATGTCTGTAAACCTGACCTTAGTGGGAGTGGCCTGCGGTGCTGTGCATTCTGGGATTTGGTGTCTCTCATCCACAAGCCAAAAAGACACTTTCTGCCATTGCTCGGCCAAAGAGGCACCAACTTCAAAATGTATTTCACATTTCTACTACATATATGAACCAATGTCAATACAGATTCATGTTTCAACGGGTGAAGTATCCCTTTAAGTATTCAATTTATAACTTAAATACTAACATTAAAAAGAGGCGCTGATGACCTAGCAGTTTCGTCGCACTCAGAGGTTAATCTTCCTCCAAGCTAGCAACCTGGGTTCAAGTCCGACCTGTGGTTACTTTCCCGCATGTCAGTCCACGCTCTCGCTCCCGATTTCTTACTCTATTGTTCTAAATAAAGGCAAAGGCCTAAAAATGAATCATCAGGTAAAGTACAACCTAGATATTGTAGTACTTAAGAAAATAGTCATAAGAAAAGAAGATAGTCCTTGGATGAATCCGGGGGAAAAAATCATAAGTTGTAACTGTTATTACTGCGGGAAACTTAAAGATACAATAAAATATCTAAATTAATAAAAAATGGACTAAACCTGTTATATTTTTTGATTAGTTCCATTCTCTCAAATATTCCCAACAGTTATCAAAGCCAGAGAAATCCTTAATTTTACAGTTGTAACAGGACGTGTCTTGTCGAGGCGGCCGCCAAGTCAGAGCCGCCATGACAGGTACGGCATGTTTATCGCTGCCGTTGAAACACCGGATGCTACGTCAAAGACTGCTACATGAGCATGTGTGAGCTGCTGCTGAAAGCTGCCATAATGGTGCTGTTTGTGATGCTGTGATAAAAACATCATGGATACATTAGCTTGTCTGTAAACATATTCTCTTCCTCAGGTCGGTTTCGATTGTTCGTCTTGACTACGGACAACTTGGAGTTCGTTTTCAACAGCGGTGGGGGTGGGGGGGGAGCAGCAGAGAGAATCACTCCCATGATTCCTTGTCAGCCTCGACGTCATCTTTTGTTATTGTTTTGATTGAGAGCCCCCTTGCGGCAGAATTTTGCAGTACCTGGATACAATGAAAAGCAGTCATGGGGCATTATAAACTCACATATAGACTAAATATATTTTGTTGGAGTATTTTTATAATAAGCAACTACAATCTATAGTGCAGGCCTTTAACCTATATTAATATAACTAAAAAAATAACTATAAAACAGACCCACCACAGAGTACAAAGTCCTTGTAGTACTATAAAATGTAACTAGAACACCAAAGATGGAATAGTAATAGCCTTTAATGCTGAATCCCAGATCTACTGAAGGTCACCATATTGAGGATTCAGGGATTAAAACACCACAAAGTATGGTAAAGTCATTTTCTAAAGTTAATATTGAACACCACAGAGGCATTATTAGTCCATTGTGCATAGATTATTGGAACACTACACTGATTTTCTTTGGGGGTTTTCAAGGGCAGCACAAGCCCTGGTCCCATAAACAACGCTGCAGAGCTGTTTCCAAATAGATCATCCGGCCCTAAATCCTCCTCATTAGAAGCTGTGGCATAAACAACTGTTCTAACATGGCCCCTGGATCAGGTCACACTAATTAACCAGCACCATCGACCGACAATTCCCTCATTATCCGCCCTCTCATCTGATCGCATATAGGCCGTCAAGACAGCTAACGATCAACAGACTAATTAATCAGCTGATGAGGTGCAAGTGGAGCTCCGGGTTCCCTCTTCATTCGCGAGACACATGGGAGCTAATTAGCTCAATTATTAATGCATCTAATTAAATAGTTTCTCTGGGTAATCATGGTAACTGTCTCGTCTTCTATCTGCTGCTGTGATAAATGGATGTGCACTGCAATAGACCCCTCTTGTCCTTTCATTTTGACATACAGACTCCAATGCAATGGCTGAATCCAGGCTAAACATTACAGGCTATTCACAGGCCCAGACCCCATTAGGCTAATTGCGCTAAAAGCAGTCTGCGGCTGACATTAAAGGTGAGCTGCGGTAAGGACTCTAATTAGCAGGCTGTGGAAATAGGAAGCCTTTTTGGCCCATCTGCTGCGGACGTGTCCTCGCTCTGTGTGAAAAGGGCAGAGACAAATTTAGGCGATGTTTTCGTGGAAAGGCTGTTTGTCAGATATAATGCCACGAGAGGCCGGGTCACCGCGGGAGAACATTTCATACTGTTACAGCTGAATTTAAAGAAAGGGGAGACAAGAAAACCGCTGTAATTTGTGGCAGCGAGGTCACATTGTTTTGCATATGAAACCAAAGCCTGCTGCTTCTTGTCAGACTCAAAGAAGAAAAATGTCTATTTGTTAAACCGTGAGCCCTTTATTCTACCATTAATATTCTGTTTACATTTCCATCAAGTTAAAAAAAAAAACAGCCCTTATCATGTTACCTCTTTTTTTATGCAATGCAATGTTAAGACATCTTGACCCTGGCTAATGAGATGCAAATCAATGGGACTTATTTGTTAAACTTGTAGGGATTTATTTCTTGATTTCTTTTAGATTTTTAGACTTGCAGTGTGGCTCTTTGGATGGAAATGTCGCTCCCTCCTTTCTCTGTTGCTTTAGCTGACCCTGCAGTGTTATTGGGGAATGATCTGATTATTTTCAATTACTCTTTGGTACAACACAAGGGGAGTTAAGTTGTGCTCGAGAGATGCTCTTGTTATCATTTAAGCCACAATTCAACTGCTCCTCTTTAAAGGCATTATGTAGGATTTTATGACAATTTTTACATTAAAATATCTAAATTAATTAAAAATAGACTAAGCCTATGTTATGGTTTTTGTTCAGTACACTAACATTACCTCATTTTTAGATTTTATATAATCAAAAAAGTCTAATCCAAAACGCAACTGGACTTGGTTGAAGTTTTTGAAGACATCTTGCCTCTCGTTTAAAATGCTTGTTCAGTTTTGGTTCTTGGCTGTCATTTCACACTCTTGCACCAGTCTTTTGGAAGAAATTGTTCAAGAAGTCCAGGTGCCTTCGTATTAAATTTTGAATTACTATGCGTCGCAAAGGAAACTATATGGAGCCATAAGATCTGACTCACTTCAAAGATTTATAATCCCCATCGCTGGGGATTTTTAATCATTCTGATACTAAATCCGTTTAGAGGAAGATAAACACGGAGGATGGAAAGAAGAGCAAGACACGGAGCAAAAAAAAAAGACAACATCCAAATGATGTCACCAGTGCAGTATGTCAGTGCCTGTTGGAGGAGTATTTTGACTTCAATTTTGTTCATCA